ACTGCAGCCTCGCAAACGTCGCGCACAGATCCAGGAGGCTGCCCACCAAGCAGCAGAGTGCTGCACCGGCTTGCAGCGGAGGCTGTGGCGCTGCGGCGCCGTCTCCCCGCCCTGTCCACGGAGCAGGCGCGCGGCGGCACGGCCCTCCACCAGTCGCAGGAGGTGCGCACCTCCCAAAGGAAGCACCAGATGCTCCCTCACCACCCGCAGCGTTGACCGTTGTGCAGCGCAGCGCACGGGCCACGCCACGCAAAGCCGACCCTCAGTCTGCCCAAGAGGTTTGTGCGGAAGGCCTGGGAAGCGCGCGCCCGCCTCCTCCGCTGCCCGCCCGTTTTTTTTTCCACAGAGTTTTTTCTTCTTTTTGCCCCAGTCATGAGCGGCGGGGGCGGCCCAACCCGCCTCGCCGACCTGGCTCGGGGCGACCTGGCCTGGCTGCGCGCCTTCATCTCCGGGCAGGGAACGCACGGCACGTCGCTCGCGGCCCAGCTCGACGCGCGGCACGACACCGAGAAGCAGGACACGCTGCTCACCTGGGCCGCTCGTCACGGGCAGGCCGAGGCGGTGCGGCTGCTGCTCGAGGGCGGCGCGAGCGTCGGGGCGACGACTGGCCGCGGCGCTTCCGCGCTGCACATCGCGTGCCAGGAGAGGCAGATTGAGTGCGCCCGGCTGCTCGTCGAGGCTGGCGCGGCGACCGACCAAGCGGATTCTGAAGGCCGCACGCCGCTGTACGTCGCGAGCCGGCGGGGCCATGACCAGTGCGTCCGGCTGCTTCTCGAGGCGAGCGCGGCGGTCAACCAAGCCAAGGACGGCACCACGCCGCTGTACATCGCGTGCCAGCAGGGGCAGATTGAGTGCGTCCGGCTGCTTCTCGAGGCGAGCGCGGCGGTCAACCAAGCCTGCAACAACGGCGCCACGCCGCTGCTCGTCGCGTGCCAGCACGGCCATCTCGAGTGCACCCGGCTGCTGCGCGACGCTGGCGCTGACATCAACCAAGCAATGAACGATGGTCTCACGCCGCTGTACATCGCGTGCCAGAACGGCCATCTCGAGTGCGCCCGGCTGCTGCGCGACGCTGGCGCGGCCGTCAACCAAGCCAAGCAGAACGGCGCCACGCCGCTGTACATGGCGTGCCTGAAGGGCCACGTCGAGATCGCCCAGCTGCTCCTCGAGGCTGGCGCGGCGGTCGACCAAGCCAAGGAGAACGGCGCCACGCCGCTGCTCATCGCGTGCCAGCACGGCCACCTCGAGTGTGCCCAGCTGCTGCGCGGCGCTGGCGCTGACATCAACCAAGCGATGAACGATGGCGCCACGCCGCTGTACATCGCGTGCCAGAACGGCCAGCTCGAGTGCGCCCGGCTGCTGCGCGACGCTGGCGCGGCGGTCAGCCAAGCCAAGCAGAACGGCGCCACGCCGCTGTTCGTTGCGTGCCGGAACGGCCAGCTCGAGTGCGTTCGGCTGCTCCTCGAGGCTGGCGCGGCGATCGACCAGGCCGATGAGCAAGGCGCCACGCCGCTGATCGTTGCGTGCCACTTCGGGCAGCTCGAGGTCGCCAAGCTCCTCTCCTCCTATGGCGCCTCCCGCGCCGCTACGCCCTTCGGCACGCCCGAGGAGGCTGCAAACAGCCGCGGCCACGCCGACCTCGCCGCCTGGCTGGTCGCCAGCCGCGGCTGGACGCCGCTCGCGCACCTTGAGACCCTCACCGCCGCCCGCGCGCTCTCCCTGCTGCGCAGCGGCGCAAGCCTGCACGAGGGCGGGCCGACGCCGCTGCAGCGCGCCGCGGGCGGCGAGGGCGAGGCGGCCGCGCTGATCCGGCGGGCGGCGGCGCCGTGGTCGCCGGCAAGCCACTCGCTCTTCCCCGCGGCGGCGCGCGAGTACGCGGTGATGGTCATGCGCATCGGCTACCAGATCGCGCTCTCTCCGCCCGACGGCGCCGAGGCGCGCCCGGACTGGAGCGCGCTGTCCGACGTGTGGCGCGAGCACGTGCTGCCGCACGCGGTGGCGCGCTGAGGCCGAGTGAGGACGCGAGTGCCACGCGGCGGCGCTGACCCGGCGGGCGGCGGGCGGCGGAGGCGGCGGAGGCGGAGGGGCAGGCAGCGTTTGAGCGTGTATCACGATCGACGACGCCACGCCACACGCGGGCGCGATCGACGCCTTGGAGGAGGAGCTGTCGGCGCTCGGCGCTTCGCCTCGCAGCGCTTGAGGTTGCCGAGGCGCCGGCGGCCGCTGCTCAGACGGCGGCAACGGCAGTGGGCGAGGTTTGAACCACTCACATGTGCGTCGTGTGCATGACCGAGCCGATCACGCACGTCATGGGTTCCGTGCGGGGACTAGAGCAAGTCGCCCTGCGGTGAATATCCCGGGGAGAGATGTGCATTGGAGTTTAGTCAAGACTGTTTAGGCTGTTAGCTTGTCTGAAGTAAACACTTCTTTTCTCTTGCA